ACTTCTCATCTTCCACAGTGAAGACAGAGGCAAAAAATGCATTTAGCTTCTCAGCCATTTCCCTATCATCCTTCAGCACTCCTTTTACCCCTTGTTCATCCAAGGGCCCCACTGCCTCCCTAGCTGGTTTCCTGCTTCTAATGTATTTGAAGAAAGTTTTATTGTTGGTTTTTAGGTTTTTTGCTATATGCTCCTCATATTCCCTTTTTGCCTGCCTGACTACAGACTTGCATTTTATTTGCCATAGCCTGTGTTCCGTTTTATCAGCCTCACTGTTGACTAGCTTTCCACTGCTTAAGGAATCCTTTTTACCTTTTACAGCTTCCATTACTTTGTTTGTTAACCATGCAGGCTTTTTCCTATACCTGTTTGTGCCTTTCCTAACCTGCGGAATATATTTTTTGAGCTTCTAGGATCGTAGTTTTAAATAGTTTCCAAGCTTCCCCAATGGTTTTGACCCTTTCTACTTTTCCTTTCCATTTCCTCCCCACATGTCCTCTCATATCAGAGATGTTACCCCTTTTAATGTTAAAAGTGGTTGTGTCAGTCTTTTTGTCCAATTTTCTATTTATACAAATGTTGAACTCAACAACATTATGATCACTGTTCCACGAGACCCCAAATTCTCACATTCTGTTATGGGAACAGACAAATGGTAGTTGACATTTTCAGCTGTACGTGTGTCACCTGAATGCATTGTTTCAGTGAAGACCTACTCCTATGTGGATTTTTTTTCACACATCACATTTGGAAATGTTACAAGGGATGTCACTTTTGATGCGTCAGTTTTGTTTTGCTATTTGTTTGATGCCATGGGTTTTGATGCATCTCACATTCTCTGACTCTCTGTTCTCTCTCTCTCTCTCGGCACAGTGCCTGTAGCAGATATAAAAGCAGTTCTGACAGGGAAGGACTGCCCTCACATGAAGGAGAAAGGAGCCCTTAAACAAAACAAGGTATAATTTTCAGTTCTATCCAGTATCTTTTTAGTTATAAACTTTTTGCTCTTTACAAAGCAGTGCATCAGTTCATTCCACTTCAAACCAGTTGCATGTTTTTATTTTGCATGTGTTTTAATCTTCTAAGCCACTCAGTTCCAGAGGTTTGCATCCAACAGAATAACATTGTGGCATAAATAGACAAAAAACAGTATTGCCACCTTCTATAGGCCACTTTCCCAATGGAAGCTTGGCTGGCACTTCCAGAAAATACCCAAGTTCAGCATTTAGCAAGTCCTGGAAAGGAAAGGAACTTCAGACTTTTAAAAAGTCCGTTGGAATGGGCCGAGCTGTGGGCTTGCGTTGTGTCTGGAAAGCTGGAATGTGAGCCTTTGCAGCTCTTGAAACATTTCTGAGGTCCATCTGGTGTAAAGATCTTGGCTGCTGCCTTCTACATCAGCTGCACCTTTCCAGCCAAGACAGGGTGAGATGATTTAAGAAAGGCTGGCCAATTTTTGCATGGTCCATCCCAGCCAACGCCATGTTTGGTTGGAACCACTCATACTCCGTTGCACAACCTGTCTTGGTTCCCATTTCATTACTGCAGCATCTCATGAAAATGGCATTGAGCTTCCTTTGATATCATCCCACTTATGTGTGGCACAATCTTGTGGCATCCCACTTTCTGAACATTTATGTACATCTTTCCCTTCACCATCAGAACAATTTGTTGATTTTGTGGGTAGACATCTCAATAGTCCAATAATTTATTTTTCTGAAAGAAAGGAGTTCCTAATATCACACATTCTGATGGAGATGTCTAAAAAACCCCTGTGTCTCCACCACTGAATGAAAGCTAATAGTATCCATGGCTGAAACTGTACATATTCACTGTTTTCTTTTTAAATAGCTGAGCCCAAGGGAGCACTATATGTAGTCCAAATAGACAACAAACAGAATATAGATATCAGAGATCAATCTTAACCAAATTTAGGTATTCAGAAATTTTATTTCGAAAAAAAATTTAGGCTGCCTCTCTGGGAACCTGCCCAAGGTGGCTTACAAAACAAAAACAATAAAAACAAAACATAAAAAATATCAATTAAAATCCAGATTTGGTTGGGGGGGGGGGAATCAGCCCAGCATAAAAACATTTGATATGCCATCTTTCCAGAGACCTACTGGAGGTAGAAAACTGTTCAGAGGAATGCTGGCCTGGACACATCTCAGATCTCTGTGCAGTGAATACCTACATACAGTAAACCAGAGAGGGGATGAAACTGAGCACTGAGTTAATCCCAAAGGGAAGATTGTAGGCAGGTTAAGAGCAGCTGCCTGTCACCATTCACTTTAATTTTGCTGAAGCTAGCTCATTTCTTGCCTCCAGTGATGGAAATCCACCCAAAGACCACTTCCTTGAATCAGACCCTTGGTCCATCGGGGTCAGTACCGTCTACTCAGACTAGCAGGGGCTCTCCAGGGTCTCACACATCACCTGATCCTTTAACTGGAGATGCTGGGGATTGAACCTGGGACTTTCCACATGTCAAGCAGATGCTCTGTCACTAGGGCTGCCAAGCTGCGGCGGGGGAACCGTGCGTCTTCACAGGATCCCTGCCGCGGGGGACAGCGATACGTGTTGCACCACCGTCGCCAGGATGTGACGCTACGCGTCGCTCTGGCAACACGGCTGTTTGGAGTCCCGTTGCCAGAGCGACGCGTAGCATCACATCCTGGCGATGGCGGTGCAACGCGTATCGCTGTGCCCCGCGGCAGGGATCCTGTGAAGACGCATGGATCCCCCGCTGCGGCTTGGCAGCCCTATCTGTCACAGAGCCACAGCAGCTTTGAACACTACGCTCATGCTCACTCCGGCAACAGTAGCTAGATAGGGAGAATAAAGGCAAAAGATGTGGGGGAGGAAAGTTACATCACTTCCTGCTAACGTGAAGCTGAGGCCTGAAATAAATGGGACTTTCCAAGAGCTCCCCTCAGGCTCTACAGCTTCGATATCAACGTTGTCTGTATCAGCATTATAGCTCCAAGATATGAATGGCTGCACGAAAGCTTAGGCACATAAAGAATGGCTGCTTCCATTGACATGAATGAAGGAGCTTGTTCCATTTGTGGTTGTTCTGTGCAGGCTCCAGAGTTGCCACAGCTGAAAGAGAGTGCTGGTTTCAGACTCATAGTTCCTGAGTTCAAAGCTTGAGTTGAGGTCCCCCCAACCTTCCCAGCCTCAGAGCTTCGAAAGGATATTTTCATCCTCCTGCCCTTGGTTAGGCAGAGCAGCTGCCTGTACATTGTTGCATTGGCAGGACAGAAGTAACAGAATGCTTAGTGCCACAAGCAAAAAAACCCAAAAACCCCCAAATTTGGCAGACTGTCCTTACTGGTGGCTTCATCATCTTTCCGTTTCCCAGCATGCAACTTTCATCCTTTCCATTAAGATCATTTGGAAATAAATAAGCGCAGCGTCAAATGGCAACTTGATGTCACATATAGCTGGAACAGATTGATGAGATACAATCTAATCCACTTTTTTGTTGAGTCTGCCAGTCTTCGGAGTATTATATATATATATTTTAAAGTATCTTGAATTATCTAGAAGTCTGGGAGAAATCTAGACTGTAGATTCCATTTTATGTTGACTAGTCCCCATGCAGCTCACCTATGGTGAGTCCTGTAGGGATCTCTCTTTTCTTTTTTTGGAGGTTCTTCATGACATATCACTTGTGTCAATATGGAAGTTCCTAGTGGGGCGCTATGGAACTCAGCCAGCAGATATTGCCCATTCTTAACAAGGGCTATAAGGACCGATGTGTATGTTCTAAACAAAGACACACATTGTACAGCCTTCCCAGAACTGTGCTGGTTGAGATCATAGTTGGGAGGACCATATGGTGGAATGCTCTCCTAATTAAAAGTGCATATCAAGGGGGCTAGAACCCTTCTCTCTGACATTATTGATGGGCACTTTTCTCCCACCTTGATTTAAGACTGGATATAGCAAACCAAATTATGTCCTAAGAAAAAATCAGAAGGGTATAGTTCTGCTTAGGATGGCACTGTGTTGGTCGTAATTTACCTGGACTTGCTAAAGGTCAAGTAAAACAGCAATTTGCAATGGAATCCTAATGCAAAGTTGCTCCAGTCTAAAACCCTAGAAATCAGTGGGGTTGAGACTGGAGTAATTCCGTAAAGGATTACACTGAGAGCCTTCTTTGCTTTTAAAGGGAATATAACAGCAGCATTAAATCCTCTGCAGTTTGTTGACAAAAGGCAAGACAAATCTTTTATTTTACTATGCTCTTCTGGGAACTATGAAACTGTTAAACTGGGTGTGCAATTTTTGGGAGATAAATATTTTCATTGCCTTTTTTAGGAGGTGCTGGAACTTGCTTTCTCTATACTGCACGATTCAAATGGACATTTGGATTTCATTGCTCCTGACAAGCATGAGGTAAATCATTGGGGGTGTATGAAATGGAAAACTGGGGAAGGGGCAATAGAGAGAAAATATTTCATCTGTCCTGAGGCTGGATGAACAGCACCACATTTGATTAGCAAATGGGGAGTTCAGCTGGACTTTGTCAAGGATTCTAGAAGAATTAGGCAGCAGGGTTGCCCAATGTCTGAACAGCAGGTATCAAACCACACCTGAAAGGTCTTTGAGGAGAAGTTCTCCAAGAAGCTGGTGAACTGACCACAGATACTCATTTCTGTGGGTGGATTTATACGGTTGCAGATACTCAGTGACTCTCCTGTTTAAAATGATAGATGTCAAAAGCAACTTGGCCTACATTGAATCCTTTGCTTGGAGGGTGGAGGAAATAGACATATCATTGTGTATGTCGATCTCATGCTTTTAAGCATTTAAAGTTTCAAATGTTAAACTGGGAGAGCTGGAGTTTTTATTCTAAAGAAAGCCAAGTTCCTGATGTGTGTGGTGAAAGCCAGAAAACAAAGGCACAGATAGCCGCCTGTCATGGTCTGTGAAATGGTATTTCTATTGAGGGAAAGATCCTGAATCAGATTTGATTCCTAATGAGCTTTTTAAGGTAGATTAGTCTTTGTGGGCGAAAATCTTCATTCCTCTCTTTACATATATAGACTCCTCTGGTAAAATCCCTTATGCATGGAAACACTCGATAATAGTTCCAGTCTTCAAAAAGAGTTGAAGATCAGACCCTACATGGCTATCAACCAATCAACTGATTTTCTTCTCTAGGAAAGCTCCATCTTTATATTTCAAGCTCTTTAATTGAGTCGGACAGTATTAGGTTCTGGGCTGGGACAAATAGGGTTTAAAAGGGGTTCTTCCACCTTAGATCACTGTCTAGTACTCCATCATCTAGCTGAGAAATATCCCAGTTTAAGTGACTATCTCTTTATGGAATTTATGGATCTCAAGGGGGCATTTGATCCAATTTGCAGAGCAAGATGATAGGCTAAATTAACCAACTGCTATTGATAAACAACTGCTCTGGCTCATTCAGCAATTTCATGCAGATCTCACTGCCCAGGTACAATGTGACCTGGAAGGCCAACTGTCAGGATTGTTTAAATAAGATAAAGGAGCGAAGGAAAGGATGCCTCTTAGCCCCCATATTGTTCCATCTTCATATAAATGATGTGTCTTGTAATTTTTTCTGAGTCCAGCCTTCTGCCTAAATTGGCCAAATTTAGTGTCTCTATCCATCTCTGTGCAGATGATACTGTTCTTCTTTCCCAGCTAAAGTGGGATTCAGATCATTAAGAATATTTTTTTTCACATTACTCATCTAAGGAGGGTTTGAATATTAAAGTCTAACTAAAATCATGGTCTTCTCTAAGAAAAGGGAAATTCCTCCTTTTAACTGGCCCTTGGATGGTCTTCTGCTTGAACTGGTTAAGGAACTGAGATATTTGGGTATCTTGTTTACATCTGATTTGTCTTGGAGTACTCACTGGAAGTTGGCATCCAATAAGGTCAGATTAAGAGCTGAAGCAATTTCAATTTTCTAAAGGCATAAGATAGATTCCTGGTGCCATTTAGGCTTTTAACCTAAAAGTTATTCCCCTTATTTTATCTGGTGCCCATTTGGATAAGCTCTGTTTCTTTGGAAGCTGGTGACTGCCATTTATTGTGTTTTGGACATTGATCTCCAGGTGGAATTTGGCCAAAAATCAGGCTAGGGCCTGGCTTCCTGCATTCAGTCTAAGGCTCAAGCAGGTTTTCAGTGAGAAGAGGTATTTGCAGGTACTGGGACGGGACTCTTTTAGATCCTCTTGGATGAAACCTTGTTGAAAAGCCGGTGTCCCTTGGCATAACATCTGACATGATGAAAAACTATGTCAAACTGAGACTCTTGCCTTAATTAAGAAGTATATTACCAATCTTGATTATTTGAGTGCTACATTCAGAGCACATAGTGCCTGCTGCTCCCAATATTTTGGTATTCTCCCCCTGCCTCCAAAAAACTCTTCCTTCGTATGCATATTATTTAACTATCTCTCGCCATGCACAGGCTTTTTGCCTGGCTAGGCTTAATGCTAATTCTTCTGAGGTTCACCAGGGTAGATTTTTGAATATTCCAGATTCTGACCATCTTTGTCCTTGCCCATCAACACCTTCTTTCGTATTCTTTTTGAGTGCTTGATCTCAGAGGATCTTGGAGCATCTTTCATTACTTCTCTTCTAGCTTGCTATTCTGAACTTTCAACCTCAGGTGCTTTGTATTTTTTATTTTGTGATAAGGATCCTAAAATTACTCTAGCAGCGACCACATTTTTTTTCAGTCCTTTCATCCTTTAAGTCATAGCTATATCTGCTGCTCAAGAGCATTGACTCGTGAAGCTTCAATGGGAGAAAGGAAAGGAAAGACACAGATAAATCTCCCCCTGCCGCCCCTGATAAATCTTGGATGAATTAACTTTATGTCAAATGTATTAGCATCAGCCTCCCTAAGGCCATGTTTTGAGGGAACCTCGAGGGCTCTTTCCTGTCCTGTATCACTCATGAATACCTTGGCCAAACCTTGATACATGGTGCTGCCCTACCCTAAAGGCATTTTTTTTGTTGCCACTAAGTGACCCCATTTTTAATTTCCACCCCCAAAGTGTGATCCCAGAATTTGCCTATGGCCAAAAAGGAAAAAAGAGGGGTGATATAACACCTAAGCCACATATTTATCCAGTTTCAAAACTTTGAACATAGTAGTAGTTCTATAACAGAGGGAGAATGTGGGAACCCATGCTCCAGGCAAGTGAGGAAATTAAGGGGAGATGGGCTCCTTTGCTGTCTCGACTTTTTCCCTGAGAGATGCCTGACCCACAAAAGTCTTGGCCACTGGCGTAATCATTGATGGAGGAAGGTCCCCTAATTCTCCTTCATTCCCAACAACTCCGTTATAGTTCCATTTTTCTTTGGCCATTTAAAGCAAATTCCAGCCAAAGAGAATTGTGGATTATTTCTTTTAAAGTAATATATACGGAGCAAGGTGTACCATTCAGTTTTTCCCTTTCTTTTCTCCTGCCACATTCAAATTAGAAACCTTTCTCTTTCTTTCTTTTTTTAAAAAAATAGTTGCTGCTCACAAAGAGCTCTAGCTATTTTTAAGCTTAGCACTATTTTGTAGCACACAGTCAGCTAAATATAAAATCCATTCTTTGGCATGGAATCTAAGAGAATCATTTATATGAGTGGGGGAAAAACATGCTAGTACGGTTGATTTAATTTTCCACTTATAAAGTAGGACACAGGCCAATGTGATTGAAATCTTTATTTTTAGACAATACCATTGGAGCATTTTTGTTCATAGTTGCATAAATGGCTTTTAGTAATAAATTTGCGTGACTGATTTGATAGGATTTGACTGCTGTTCCTGCAGTCCTCTGGGGCTGCTGCTGATTTAAAATAGTTATTTAGTCCATGTTTATCTGGAGTTTTCAGCATCAGGGTGGTATGGCTCTCTCTCTCATAAGAACATAAGAGATGCCAATGTTGGATCAGGCCAAAGGCCCATCCAGTCCAACACTCTGTATCACACAGTGGCCAGAAATACCAGGTGCCCTCAGGAGGTCCACCAGTGGGGCCAGGACATTAGAAGCCCTCCCACTGTTGACCCCCCCCAAGCACCAAGAAGACAGAGCATCACTTGCCCCAGAGCCCCTATCTATACCTTGTGGCTAATA